ATAGCAGGAAGGAATTCGGAGTCATGGCGTGCATGGCTCCAGCGGAAGCGGTCGGCCTTGAGAAAAGGCTGCATTCATGCAAGTTTTCATATATCCGTCAAAATAGAATCCGAAGAGAAAATACCAATGATTAATGTGAGAAAAACAACGGCAATTTAACCCCTCCGTTGACCCCGAGCCCTATTCACAGTTGCTCTGCCTCTGGCTAGCCCAACACCTCTACCGCGTTGACCTCTTGACCGGAACATTGGCGCATTTCTAGACGGAACGTATATTAGTGACTACTCTAGGGGTTTTACTAAACCACAGAGGAAATTGCTAACGGGTAAAGAGCAGAAAGAAGGGGAGTCCATCAAAACAGCCAAAACATCGGGTTTTTCGAACAGCAAAAATTATCTTGATGTCATACCTCAGCATATCTGGTACAATGAAGAATCTCACATGGCTTCCCCGAATGTAGACCTGGTCAAGATGCGAAACACGGCCATCGCGAGCCGTGACAGTAATGTCTTTAAGTTGGACGTTCATGTTGTCTTCGGCTATTTGCGTGGAACTCAACTTTCAAGTTAGCAAAAAAAATCCGTATGTAATGGCTGTGACAGCAGTCACAGCCTCCCGTTCAGAGACCCTCGAAAATTCTCGCCATAAAAACAGTCAACAAATATAAATGGTCCGCGCACCTTCAAGTAGCTTTCCTCGGTAGACTTGCCCGGACAAAATTTCTAGCGTAACGACGTGGCCCTACGGGATAAAAGAAACGGTTAGCATGTGGTTCCTTCGAATAAGGAGTGCTGGGCGCGATAAAGTAACAGATATCATATGCCCTTATCAATAGAAAAGTGTCACACGCGCAACAAACACGAGTAGGTGGGAGAGACTTACTTGCGCCTCGTTGAGGAGCTTGATGGGAATACCAATAGTACTCGTTAATTTGCCCATCTCGAAGCTGAAGGTGCGTCGAGGCAGGAAGAAGAATCTGTAATTGAATAAACAATTAAATAGTCTGAGAGATATCGTCAAATATGTCCAGACAATATCGGTTAGGTGAGTTGCAGTGTCATGGCATCATTGTGGATTTCTTGTCAGAAGAAGTTGGTTCAATAAACAGTCACCGCTTTCGGCAATTTAAGCTTTGGAGCCGCCTCCGCTGCCCAAATTTCAGCTTCCTCCTTCTCATCATCAGCATCGACGATAGCAATAAACAGACCTTTGTTCTGATTCTAGGCAAGCCGCCAGCCCGATACATTTAATCAATGGCTTGATTCATTTTCCTGTTTTTCATTTTCAATTAGGTCTCATGGTTACCAATATCTGTTATCTAGCAACCATCTCTAAGCTCAACCCCGCGCGGATGCTTGAGCTAATATCATCCGTCCTCTCCTGTATACGCCAGATAAATAGAGGCGACCATGCCACGTCCACTCAATCCGAATATCCCAGCCTTCAATCTTGCCATATCCACTCTATTCCGTAATCCATCACTCCTTGTCCCCAATTATACAATTCCAACATTCCTTCAACTTCCAGGAGACAACTTGGGTGCTCACCTTATTCCCTCCTCGTACTTCTCCACACCAAGCAGCCATGCTAATCGACATAAATTCCCACCCAAAATTCGTGCCCTAGTAATCGACAAAGACAACACACTCACCCCACCAGAGTCCCGCATAATCCCCCCTGCCTATATGCAAAAGCTCAAGGACCTCCGTACCAACCCTTCCTCCCCCTTCAACATGAATATTAATCCACATGGCATTCTAATCGTTTCAAACACGGCGGGGAGCGATCCAAATATTGCACTTTACGAGGAAGAAGCAAAACATATCGAGTCGGTCTTGTCCCATTTGAAAATTCCCGTTTTTAGATCTGGCATCGCCCCCCCGAAAGCGGTTTGCTCCAGCGAAGCCTCAGAGTCTCCACCAACGCGTCATTCGCTCAAGAAACCGTTTTCTTACCCATCTATCCTCGCCCACCTTCGTGCTCTGAATGCTATAGCTTCACCTGATGAAGTTGCGATAGTGGGTGATCGCCTCGGCACGGACGTGATTATGGCTGGACTTATGGGTTCGTGGAGCATTTGGACACAGATGGGGGTGACTGTTGGTGTAGAGGGGAACGATGAAGGGAGAGAAGGTATGGATTTCAGAGGCCGGTTGGCCAAATTGGAAGTGAGGTTAGAGCGGTACCTAAGGCGAAGAGGAGTTGCACCAGCGGTGCCAAAAGGGTGGGAAAGTCGAATGTAATCGGTTCTGGAGGTATTGGTAAGTATGGATAAGTCGATTTTAGGATGCGCGGCTCTTTTTGGGTTATTCAAGTCTAGGACAGGCAGCCGGTAGAATTACCCATACGTATTGACGCAAGCTGAAGGCCGCCGCGCTCTTGTCTATGTTTTCTTTTTGATATATTTCCGTTCATCTCCGCACAAGACCGCGAATTCGAAAAGCCATGAAAGATTGGGAGGGCCCTTTTGAGATATATTTGGGGAATATATATTCAAATAATACGTGGTATTAATTGAGATGCAACGTGCATAGTATCTACACTGTTAAAGGTAAGTCAGGTCTATGCAGCCGATATAGCGGAAAATAGAGCTAAACTGATATGCCAGTATAATCAGACGCGAACAGTTGCTGTTCCAAATATGTTTCCAGCTGCCCTCCTCTGCACATTGCCACTGCTGTCAAGAGAAACCCATTCGCTAATTCTCTTTATCTGAGCCACGGACATCACAATCCAGAATTTTGCTAACCGTGATAATGCATTGATATAAGCCAGGGTCTGGTTCTCTTTTCATCAGCAATTGTGTCAACAAAAAGATCTCGATCAGTAGAGTCGATCTTCAGCTTCTGACGCTTGTTAGCGGAATACTTTTGACAGCTTCAATCAATCATTTCCCAGCGCAGTATAAAAATAACAAAGACAGTTAAATGTTCGTCGATGGACTTTCAACGAAAAATTTCATATTCGCTACAGGGCTCCTTGTGCACAGGCTCCAGCACGGATTTCGTTTTCGAGCTCCCATATCCTGTATGCATGGATTAACTCCTGAACTAGGCATGATTGAGGACTTGTAGCTGGAAACACTGTGGTCCATTTTCTGTACTTTGTAACAGTGGGAGCATAAGCCCCAATCGCAACAAGAAGGAGGTCATATCGGCGAGTACAAGGAGTCAAAAGTGAGACCTGCTTCCACTACACTTATATTCTTATCCTGTGGTCAATGTGACTCCACTGGAGAGATGAAGGACACCTCGGATACATATGTCGGAGATAATACACTCCAGCCGTATTCTCTTATTGTATTAACGGATTGACTGTATATCTGGGAGTGCCCGGGATCTTTGCCGCATAGGATGCTCACCAACAGCGGAGAAAATACGGCTTCAGTCGTGTGGAAGCAAATGCAGCGGCGAAAAATCAGGGAGCACTCAACATCTGTTGTTGCCGAACCGTCACTTTAGCGCTACACTAGAAACTTGACGTTGGATTCCCTGCCATCCTTCTTGAATGGTGGAAGTTCCATCGGGGGGCAAGCCAGGGTAATCCCACACGATTACCGCTATCACTAGAATCCCACACTCTCTTTCCCATCATCCATCAACCCATGAACCAGAACCTAGGAACCCGTCACTGGACTCCATTTTATTCAAAAACCAGCCCAGCAAAGCACGCCTTATCCAAATTGCAGGTTCTCTCCACACCAAGCTGGAGAGGTGCTCCGCTGGCCCCAATGGCGGTCTCCGTCACATCGAAGGATATGGAGCGAGCCCCTTTTAAGAGATAGCAAGACCGCAGGGATATTATGTTTACTTCGTTAGGCTGATACTCCAAAGCTTCCATCTGTGTCACACAACCTGCAGCCAAGCAATCAGTCACATACTCTCGAAGACATTTTTCGGGTATCCCCCCATGCCCTCCATAATTCGTGTCATATGATACCGGCTGCTCCTCCACGGACGAGGGGTTAGAATGATTTACCAAACATGTTCCTACCCGCTTTCCACTAGTCCTACAACCAGATATACGGGGTAGCACGGGGGGCCTGACCTTGTTATCCGATCTCCAGGAGGAGAAAACAGAGTAACAAACAACAGAGATAATCAAGATTTAACTTGTGACACTGGTGTTGTTTGAAACATGTTCCAAACAGATAAAAAAACTGGATATATAACTATTTTTAGCAGCAGCCCCTCCCGCGCCTGTGGAGGGTGCCTGGTTTCGTTTCATCAGGCGAAGCGCATGAGACTTTATCAACTTCATACGACTATGAACGAGGACTTGATTTTTTTTTTTTTTTTTTTTTTTTTTTTTTTAAACCAAGTAGTTGGAAAACATTCGAGAGATCAAACGATGGCAAAAGGTGTTATTTAGTCGAGCTGATGAACTTCAATATTACAACGAAACAGAAAATTTTTTTCCCTGACCAGTTGATACCAATATTCCACTTTGCCAAAGCTAGCTAGCTTATTTAGCATCCATGGATGCGATGTGACTTGACACGGACATGGTCTCGGCCAAAGGATCTGGATTTACCACCAGGTCCCGTATCTGCACTTGGGGGAGAGCAAAGGTAGAAGAACCCTTAACCCGAACAAGACAAATGGAAAATGAAGCACCTCAGTTGGCGGGTGATGAACCTTCCTTTTTTTTTTTTCCGGGGTCGAGTCATGCATGGGGGGGACATTGTAACGGCCAGGCGTTTTATGTGGATTTCTCTGACTGGAGACATGAAGTGCAGAACTACCTGGGTCCGAAGAGAACGTTTAGGCATTAAAATTGCGCATCCCTTTTTAACATTCTTAGAAATCCATTAATCTGATGACAGGAATTGTTTGTTAGTATGGAACTTTAAGTCATGACAGCGATTTAAACAGAGTGAGTCTCCCTTGTGTATTACAGCATTCTCACTTGCCGCTTAACCCCTTCGATGTAAGTACAGTACATAGTATGTGCTGTACTAGTAGAAAAGCATCAAAAGCACAAAAGTGTATGTACTCAAGAGTATTAGCCAGTTTAACGAGGGTGGGATTTGGAACCTCTCTGGAGTATATGGCCCCTTTTTTTCCGCGCTGAAACCATTCCTGATATAGTTTGGATTCCTTGAGTGTGGTGGATATCGAAACTAAGCCCTGCAGGATCGCATTGTCAATCCTACCCTATGTGCGATTAGTGGCTTTAGTGGCTTAAGTGGCTTAAGGGAACGTTAGGGAAACGTTAGTGGCTCTGGATGAAGATTCGGTGCTCGGCACCAAGATGAACAAGTTCTCATCGTCGTGTACGGAGGATGCGTGGGACCTTGCTTGCGAGCACCAAGGGTCAACGATAGGTGTGCCTGACGTGAGCCATAAATCCATGCAACCAAGGCACCGGCGATGGCGCCCCCTTTTGAACCTACTTTTTGGTGGCGTCGACGAGGTCCGAGCTAGCTGGGGACCTCGCTTTGCTCGTACTATGTACAGATTACTTCGTTGAGGATGTGGAAGGAAGGATTTTTGAGGCTTTCCTCCGTTCGCCTGATCCCAGGCGCTCTCTCCAACAGAATCGGCCTTTCTGCCTTCTTTCGGGTGGTTGCGACGGGGGGGGGATCAGTTATGTGACGTCGGTGGATGAATCGGCAGCGAACTTTCCTTTTTCCTGCCGCTGCCTGAATTGCCGGATCGACGGAAAATTCTGGAAGAATTGACTTTGAAAGCCAATGGTGATATTGATCTCACCTTTCTTCTTCTTGCTTCCTTTCACCTCCCGTATATTATTTTGCAATGGCTCATTGTATATATATACTAGTGGAATTAACTTGATTTGGAAAAAAAAAAAAAAATAAATAAAGAAAAAAGGGCTCAATCATGGTCACAAACGGCGAACGCATGCGCAGAAGCTAAGATAGAGCCAGCGCTCGTCAACCTGTGACACCAAGTTTCAAGACTCGAGTCAGATACGTTTCATTCAATAAGGGGCCGGCAAGGAGAGGAAAGAACTTGGTTCCAACGGATCAAAAACAAACATGATACAGAAAAGCTGTTGAAGTTATGGATGAACTCCGTCAACTAGACTCTAGTTGGTTTAATGTGTTGCAAATCTTGAACTTTCAATAGCGATTGCCAAAACACACATCTCCACATATATCAAACGTGCTGTCGCAGATGAATGACGCATGTAGGCGTCAATCGCTCCATGAGCGCCCTCCTGTTTCCAGCCTATGCAATTGTGTTTTGCATTTTGCATTTTGCGTTTTGGCTGAGTTCAGTTGCGATGGAAATTTTTTTATAGTCATTCAAAGAAATGTGCAGGGGAACGATTATACTGAGAGCTGTGGAAGCGCACGGCTGTGGAGCACTCGATTCCTTATTTAGGTTTTGGATGCAGGAACCTGCAACACCGCATTACTATGCTATGCAATGCAATGCTATGCTACGCCATGCCATACTATATGACGTTTCAATGGGTAGCTCGAATCCTGCTTTCTCCATGGCTCATTCTTCACCCAACCGTAAAATCTTTGCTCTACAACAAATAATCGACTAAAAACCATCCTACGTAGCTCGATATATGAGCTGATGGGCATCTATGCGTCATGCATACCTAGAGCCGAAACAAACAATCCTCCAGGTCTCGGAACGAACGGGACAGAAAGAAAGAAAGAAAACACGTTGCTTTCGAGCACGAATGCTGATCAAAGAGAACCGTACTTTCCTGCAATGGCTCGGTCGGGGATTTAAGCAAGGAGATATAGCAGGCGTTGTACAGCGTTCGCAGACGGAGAAGTGCAGTGCAGCGCAGCGCAGTGCAGTACAGGACATGGCATGATTGTGGACCTCGTGGGACCTGCAGTAAGGCATTTGGAAGTACCAATGGCGACGGGTACATACAGCTAGCTAGCTATGGGTTTACATAGGCGCTAAATAGAGCGCACTTTTCATGTACTGTGCAATATCGGACCCGAGGTTAATCCTGGATTAAAAATGTAGAAAGGGAAAAAAAGAGGAAGCAGAAGAAGCGTTCAGCGGAGTGGGCATGAACTATAAAACACCAATAGTTTATAAAAACCGGGTCGAAGCGATGATGTCTTGTACGTGCTACGTATGTTACTTACTGTCCGTCCAGTCATTGCATGTACCTTCATGTGAGCGTCAAAGCTGGCGCACGTTTTTCTATTCCTCCTGTTTTCTTTCTCGAATCCAGGTACAGAAGCAAGTGCAGAAAACGCTCCCTTTGTTCATTCATGGGACCTGCATGGCTGCATTGCTATATGCTGCATACCACATACCGCATACTGAATGCCGAACACAACACCTTACCTGCTGCAGCCTGCACCAAGCCGGAAGAATATTCCGCGCGTGGAAGATATGGATATGGATCAAATTACTTTCGATATAGGTAGGGTGAAGGACGCCGGGAGCAAAGTGGGGCCAGCTGGGGCTGATGGGGCTGATGGAGCTTATGGAGCTTATGGGGGGAAACAAGTACTGAAGGTTGAAATCGACAACTTTGGCTTTGCGTTTGTTACATCTGTTGAATCCTCCCCATCTAGGAGTGGGGGGAAAATGGCTGGTTGGCTGGTTGGCTGGTAATACTATGTAGTTAATGTGAACTCCTGAGGTCTGGATGGCAACTATTCAAAATCCCATCATATTCCATACTTTATTGTTTCGATTCCCCCATCTTTGAACTTCTAGGGAGTTAGATAACTTAAACTTCTGCAGATCCGAACTGATCGACACGTTTGACGGCAAGGAGTCGGTGGGTTTCGTTGAGCTTAAACGGACCACAGGCAGGAAGAAATGAGAAGAGAAGGGAGAAAATAGCGTTGGTTTGAATCTGTACTCAACTGAACTCAATAAAGGAGAGAACAAGAGTAGCTGGGGGAAG